CTCCCGCCACCATTTGCCCGTGGGGAGGGTGAGCGCTGGGTTCATCCCCGCGGCGCTCCCAGGAGGGATTTTTGCAGCTGGGGATGCCGAGCAGCTCCGCGGCTCTCGCCACCCGTGCCACGTCCCGGCTGCTCTTCCCCGGCACGGCTGGAGAGGTGACCCAAAATGAAGGGGGCGCGGGCAGCGCTGGCAGCTTCAGTCCAGGGCCAGCGAGGGGATCTTGCAGACGAAGGGGAAGGCTCTGCCACAGGCGTTGTCGTTCCAGGAGCGCAGTGCTACCCCCCAAAAAAACAAGGCGTTAGCAAAAATAGGCACGAGGAGGTAACCATGCACCGCCCTCGGGACTGGGACCTCCTGCCGTTGCGGGAGGCTTTCCCCAGATGTGCTTCCATTTGCACTGTTCCCAGCCATGCCCTCTCCCAGCATCCCCATCCCCGTCCTGCAGATGCTGGCAGGGATGCCTGGCCCCAGCTCGAACATGGTAGTGGGGAGGCAGCTGCAAATACAGCCCCGTACCCCACAAAATATCAACAGGCTGCCCATGGACGAGGCGTTCAGGTATGTCCAGGGGGTCTGGATACACTTGACTGGTCTCACTGGCAATGAGGGTGTGAAGTGGGATTTTTGCACAAGCAGGGTCTTGCCCCGCTTCAGCAAGATGACCCTGACCTGACCGACGGAGGGAAAAGCTGGCAAACCGATGGGTGTTTCCACAGGCCTCCCGTGTGGGAGGGGAAATGGGAAAATTTGACCTTACGCTAAATTCGGTAATTCTTCAAAGTGGATGATGCTCCCCTCCTGCCGCTGCTCTGGGAGAGGGAGATGGGCTGTGAAAGCCAGTGTGTGTGTGTATGTGTGTACATGGTGAAAGAGAAAACACATCCCTTCTCTGCAAAGAAAAAAGAAAATCATAATAAAAAATTAAACTGCAAATCCTCAGCTTGCCAGCAACCTCTTCAGAAAAGCACGAGCCGCAGTGGATGGAATTTATTGACATGCAAATAAGACTCAAGGTGCCCTCGACGCCCGGCGCGGCACTCACCGCTGCTGTGCCTGTACCAGATCTGCACGCAGTCCTCCTCCTCCGGGATGGAGTGGATCCCGTCGTCGGGCTGACTGCCGTCCCAGTAGTGGTAGTCGTAGGAGGAGCCGTCCGTCCACTCGAAGTGACCCTCCTGGTGCGGGGCAAGCCGGGAAAGGCGGCGATCGCAGAGCTGCATTTGTGGGGGTTGGGGGGTCCCGCTCCCGGGCAGACCCCGTCCCGGTCCCCATCCCCGGTGCCACACAGCCCCGGGGGACGGCGGGAGACTGTCACCACTCAGCAAAGGCCAAACAGCTCATTTGGGTTTTACGACTGAAAACTTACCTCCAGAAAGCTCCAGCATTCGCAGTGTTCTCACCAGGGGAAGCCCAAAAATTAAACCCATATATTTTTTAACACGCCCACCCAATTCTGTGTTCCTTCTCCTTTTTCTTTTCCATTCCTTTCCCAATATCTACAAAAAATTTGCTGGCATGGGACTGTTCTTCTGATGGTTTCGATTTTTCTTTGTTACATATTAGACTATATATTTCCAACATGTCAGCTTTGAAAAGTTGCAGATTATCACAAGAAAACAATGAAACTTGGTGATTATGGACGTTGGAGACATTTTCAGTTTATTTGCTTTTCTTGGACCAGTAGCACAATACTCTTTCTATTAATCCCTTAATAAAATATGATGTCAATAATTAGTAATTATTAATCTATTAATTCTAGTAACACTTTTCTTTTAAAAACAGACTGGAGGGGATGAAATGACAACTTTCCCCCATGCGCTGCACAACAGACCCTACGCCACCACCTGATTAATGGGGCTATGAGGAATGAAGAAGAAAACCAAGTGGCTTTCCAGGGGGGAAAACACAGGGAATTGACTTTTTGAAAGCCATTTCCCACATGATTACGGCCAGCTCTCACCTGCCGCAGGTCGTTGAGCCCCGTCCAGATGTCGGTGGGGATGCCCGGCACACGGCTGTTCACCAGGTCGTACACGAAGACGTTTTCTTCCCAGCTGGCAAAACAGAGCAGTACGGAGCCGCTGAGGGGTATGTCAGGCAAATGGTCAGGCATGCTCCTAAGCACTCGCCCTACAGCATGGCCAAATGGGTCCCCCTCTTCTAATTGCTGTTGATTACTTTCCCGGGTCTGTGCAAGAGGTGCGCAGTTAGGGTGAGAGCTGGGGGAGAGGGAGCGGGGGAAAAAGCCTGTGTAATCACGTTGTATTTCTATCCCTTTTTCAAGAGTAAAAAATGCAGTTTTGGGAAATTTAGGGAATACTACGTCAGTTTTCCTGCCAGGCCAGGAAAAGGCATTTTTTACACTGCCTTTGTGTGCCCAGTGCATCAGACTTGACCCAGTCGCAGAGGGATGCTTAGGCTGGTGCAGAGGGATGCTTAGGCCGGGACACAAGCTTGCAGCTGGCACAGAGGTTGTGCTGTGGGAATGGGACTTCGTCCCTGTTTTCCTTCTTTCCCAGCCCGTGCCAGGGTGGGATGACATGTTTCTGCGCCCCTCACCTGTGGATGGAGGCCAGCTTGGCTGATCTGATGCCAATGGAGAACTCGGCGCAATAGAGGTCGGCTTCAGCCCAGGTTTTATTGATGGGAAAGTACCGGTAGCAATGGCCTTCATACTCTGTCCAGAAGAGCGGGCAGGAGTAGGCATGGACGGGCTCCGGCATGGCTGGGGGCAGAGCAGAGGACATCCAGCAGCTGGTGGCAAAGCAGCATGGCCAGGCAGCCGAGCAGGCAGTGGAGGCAGCGCTGCCCAGCCCTGCTCCCCCCACCTCACCCGGGCAAATAACCACCAAACACATGCATGGAAAAACCAACGGTTGCAGAAGCCATGCAAGAGTTTGCAAAAGCCAAAACACGTTTTGCGAAAGCCGTGGGTTTCTCGGTTTTAGCATCTGCCTAAATCAGGAGGGACATTTCAAGCCAGTTTGACATCGTTTTAGGCAGAGGGTGCTTAAAATAAAGGCACTGACATTTGCTACTGGGGAAACCGAGATAAGGGCTCCTCTCGCCTCGTCAGGCACTCCCAGAGCTGCCGTGCTGGGATGGGAGCTGACAGCCGGGGGCTGCAGGGTTATGGCCGCACTCTGCCCTCCTGCTCTCGCCTCCTGCAAGGCCAACTTGCACCTCCTCCCGCTGAGCAAACCCCCTCACCAGCCCCTGTGTCCCTGGGCCCGGACACAGCCATGCACGTATGCGTGCTTTGGATTTCGGCCCCATAAATAGCCGGGCAAGGCGCGCGTGCCGCCGGGAGCGGTGCCGGGCTATCTGCCTCCCGCCACCAGATAAGAGCTGGGGCTCCATGGGGCTGCTCCGCCTCCCCCGCCACTTCTCAGCACAGCGGGGGAGTTACCCCAAAAGAGGCCATTTTGGGGGGGCAGGACACATTTCTGGAGCCTTTGCTGTTGCTGCTGAGTAAACACGGTGGTGTTAACGCTTCCCTCTGACCTCCTCCACGTCACGCTCCCTCGTCACACGTGGGGAGGATGCAATGCCATGCACAACACCCCCCCCAGACACTAATGCACGCGTAACCCCCAAATCTCGTGGCACGTAGGCTTAAGTCTCTTAGCTGCTGTTTTTTGGGCCTTGGGGAATTGCCAGCTCCCCCAGAGCCAGTTCCCGCATCCCCATGGGGTCCTGCCGGAGCAAGCGGGGAGGTGGGCAGGGCAGGGGAGCAGGGGGTTACGGCACACGTCAGATGCCATGAAACTATCCAAGCAGTAACAGGCTCAAGCCCGGAGAGGTCAGGGTGCTGCTACAGGGCCCCCGGTACTGAGGGGTTGGGGGGATGGCTTTCCTCGAGGGTGGGGAGAGCAAAACCGTGCCAGCGGCAGCGCGGGACAGGACAGGGGAGAGGGCAGCATTGGCGTGGGGAAAAGGAGAGGCGAGGTGAATTCAAAGCAGCTGCAGGAGCGTTCATGGAACCGAATCCTTCCCTGCCCCCGCACTGGCAGCTCCAGGCAATAATTTCGTATTTCATCAGCTCTTTCCACATGGGGATCTCTGAGCGTTTTACAAACACCCGCCAGCCAGCCCCCGGGGTCCCTCCTGTCACACACCCCTCCCAGGCAACAAACCACAAATGCAAAGAGCCTTTTTTTCCTCCTGAGCAGGGCGCGGAGGCCAACCTGACTGCCGGTAGCACCCGCTGTGCCGAGCCCCGCGGGGCTGTCACCCCATCACCCCCGCCTTGGGACCCCCGGCCGCTCGTTCTGGAGGAGCCGTGGCTGGGAGCAGCTCTGCACCCCACAGCAACAAACCCGCCGAGAGCAGCGAGGGGCTCTCCCACCCTCATCAGCACTAGTTATGGGCTGCGGAGGGAAAAAGGCACACCGGACTGGAAACAAGAGGAACAGCTTTACAGGAGGGTGGCCAAGCCACAGCCAGCTCAGTGGCAATGCAGGGTTCAGCTCTCGGATTCACATCCAGCCATCCTTGCATTTGGAAAAACCTTGGAATAGCCCTAAAAAAAGCAAATTGTTGCTATTATAGCCATAGAGCAGAAGGAC